TGTGTGTGTGTGTGTGTGTGTGTGTGTGTGTGTGTGTGTGTGTGTGTGTGTGTGTGTGTGTGTGTTTGTTAGGACATGTTTCCCTGTTACTTTTTTCTGAATGATAATGGACAAGCGGAATTCTCAGGTGTTTTTGCGGTACATGCCTTAGAGACATCTCAAATATCTCATTACCGAGGGTCGTTCTTGTTTGCAGCGTTGCTCTTTTCCTTGTCCTTCGTCCGTCCATTGTTTTTCTAGTTTTTGGCAACTTTTTTAGCCTTTTTGACTCTTAAGAGTCATTTAGGACTTGCATGTTGGCGATTCACGAAGGCAAACACCAATAATCAAAAGAATCAAGGATGATTGTCCAATGAGAGGCACTAGTTACACGTGTTGTCTGTTCACTCTAGAAGGAGGTGACTGCCAACGCAATGCATGCTGATCGTGACTGTATACAAGTCATCATTCTGGTCTAATGCACTTGCGATGGGCGTGCGCTGTGCTTGGGGGAAGATGGTCTGTGTAAGCGAGTTATAGCCAATTAGTCAAAGCACTGTGAAAAAGTGATATTGCAATCTTGTCCTACAATGTTCTAAGGTTTACCAGCCGGGGGCTCTTTCCTTTTGATCAACTGGCATCTTTGGCCATGCGATGTAAAACTCTATTTACATCGCAAGGCCAGCATTGGGCCGTGTCGTTGTTCTCGTGAGCTGAGAGTCTGCCACGTTAGCAAGTTCTCGGCTGGGCGATTTTGGAGCGTGCGATGTGAATGTGGTTTGGTAGGCGTGCGATGTGGCTTATCGTTGTGGAACGCTCGATGTAAAGATTTGCCCCGTGATTTGCGGTTGTCCATACGATGTGTTTGCCCGTTTTGTCGTCTTCTTTCCTTCTTTTCTTTTCGTTTCTGTTTTCTTCTGATTTGTTCTTTTTTTTTTTTTTTTTTTTTTGGACGGGGGTTCGAATCCAGGCGGTCATACGGCGAAAACAGGTAAACGGAAGCTGCGAAAGAAGTGAAAGAAAAGAAGAGTGGTCAAGTGCAAAAGAAACTGTACGAATTCCACTGGCACGGAAACTTGGGAAGAGTAAGGAACTGTTGCAAACGTTCTTTCGTTTCTGTTTTCTACTGTTTCGTCTTTCGTTTCTTTTGTTTCTTTTTTTTTTTTTAATGAAGGATGGGGGATGAAATCCAGGCGGACAGAAGCTGCGAAATCCGCTTTTGTACAAAGGCTGCGGAAGTAAAGAAAAGAGATGGGAAAAAAGAAGGTACCTGGAAGGATGTACTCACCGGAATTTGTTCGGGGACGGGGATGTGGCACAGTGCGTCGCAGGCGGCGACAAGGCTCGAACCCACCACCTTCTGAATGGCACTTAGGTGCAAAAGAAAGGATTTTTTTCGGGGTTCCGAGAACAACACTGTATGAATGCAATCATGATTCCCAACTGCACGGAATCTTTGGAGCGTGATTTGCGGTTGAATGCAATCATGATCTCCACCTGCACGGAATCTTTGGAGCGTGATTTGCGGTTGTCTCACGATAATCGAAGGAAATCCATTTCCGGACAAAAGCCACGAATGTAAAAGAAAAACGAAGGGGAAACTTTTTAGTCTTTTCTGTTTATCTAGATGCCATGATGGGTCAGTTATTTGCTTTGTTCGTATTGCCACTTATACACTGAGCTTCGCCCTTCACTAACCATTTTGTGTTTTTCCAATTTCGTACTTAAACAATCTGCCACAAGTAACCAAAAGAGTTTTTGAAGGTAAATGGTGCATGCGTCTCAACCGCCTGGAAATCCGGGAGTCAAGACAGGTCACCAGACAATTCAGGATTTGTACACCTTCACCGAAACTTTGTAAAAGTACTGTTAGAAACGTGAAAATCCGTTTTCGTACAAAAGCCACGAATGTAGAAGAAAAACGAAGGGGGAAAAAAAAAAGATGGTAAATGGAGCCTGTGTCTCAACCACCTGCAAATCCAGGAGTCGAGACAGTGCGCCGCAGGGGGTCATGGGGCTCGAACCCACAACCTCCTGAATGGCA